CGCTCACACTGAGGACCTATCCACGTCATCATTTACCCAGAATGCTTTGTGTGTAAATAAAATGGCTCTGTCTGTGTTAAAATATATATTTTTTAAATTTACAAATCTAAATAGCCTACAGTATTTTTACAGTCTTTATTTTACAGTTAAAATATATGTTTGTCAAATAAAGTCTGATGTTACAACTAATCATGGATCCCTTTAATCTTTGGACCACTCACCCTGCAGGCCGTCTTCAAGGCAACCGAGGGGTTTGTTCCCTGTGTCGTTGGGTCCTGCAGCTCCAGCTTGATCAGAGTAGAAATCGGAGCTTGAACCCCTGAGATCTCCCAGGATCGACTCCAGGTTGTGCAACTACACATTAAAATAACAGACAAACATTTATCAAGAGAAAAATACAGAAATGTCAGATACTGTATAGAATACATAACAGTATTCTAAGACCCAGTCTTACATCATCTGGTGGTTCTGACTTGATCTTGCTCTCAGGATGTTCAGGTGCGGTGCCCCCCGCGGCTCCTGGAGGTCCATTTCCTTCCAGATCCTCCAGTTTGGGCTTGACATCCACCGGCTCTTTGGAATCGTCTTTGTTGAGAAGGTAATGGAGGAGGGCGTGGGTCTTCTCCTTCTTGGGGCTATGCTGCTCCTGTTTAGGATCTGTGATTAGCCCAGGGCCCGATGCGGCCCCTGGGCCTGCCGTCCCGCCCTCGCTGCCCTCCTGGCCCCCGAGCGACACCTTTCCCGTAGCCTCGGCCGTGATCTTAGCCACTTCGTCTGGTGTATTGCCGTTCTGCAGCAGTTTGTGGAGGATCTTGTGCTTCTCCTGCAGCGAGCCGGTGTAGTGGGCCGCCGCCTGTCCTGCACCGGCTGAGGACGAGGAGGACACCCCTGTGGACGAGGGGCTGGTCATGCCGCCAGTGGGGTCCTTGCTGTCTGATCCCACAGGAGTGCTGCTGCTGTTTGCCGGGGGTGGTACAGGGGGTCCTGTTGGACCACTTCCACCCATCCCCAGCTCCTCAGTGGGAGACGTCAGTAACTGCAACAACTTTTTGTGTCCTTTGCTGTCCGGGACCCTCCGTGGGGGATCTGAGCTCGCCACCCCTGCCTCATTGCTTCCCTCTGCCGTCTCTTTATTCACGGTAGCTGCCTGACTGTCGGGTCCGTCTCCAGTACTCTCGGAAGGAGGGTGCTGATGATGGTGGTGGTGGTGCACTGGGAGGTGATGGTCACTGGGTCCAGACCCTAAGCTTCCGGACGGACTTTTGGAGCCCTCTTGGCCAGGTTTGGACTGCTGGTTGGAGGAAGAGGACGAGTGGATGCTGGGGGAGCTGTCCGGTTTGTGGACCGGTGATGGGGATGTTAGGGTGGAGGGCAGTGAGCTCCCCACTCCTTCACTGATGGCTTGTAGCGCATTGAGAGAGCTGCTGGAGAAGGTACAGGTGCTTCCTGGTCCCGCTCCTCCACTGCCAAGCCCACTCATAGGAGAGTGGATCCCTGCATCCAAGAGAAACCCACATCAGTAAGTTGTTGGTGAATTAAACCACTGGATTAGCCTGGTTGCCGCTAATAGCCTTACCTCCTGGGGAGAACTGGTTGGCACCCATTTTTGGGCTCCCTCGATTCCGGGGGGACATCAGGAGTCCCTGTTGGGGTCCGCCCATTCTGGGACTTCCCGATGGGCTGTTCATGCCGCCAAGGCCAAACCCGCTGCTGCTCTGAAACGGGGGCTGCTGCGGATGCTGCTGCATGCCTTGGGCCTGGTGACTCATGGGCCCCATCTGGTTCATCTGATTCATGTGTCCCACCTGATTCATGTGTCCCACCTGATTCATGTGTCCCACCTGATTCATGTGTCCCACCTGATTCATCTGCATCATGCGACCGCCCATGCCTCCACCACCTCCTCCGCCTCCATTGTTCCCTCCATACATAGAGCCACCTCCCATCGGACCCATATTTGGACCCATATTTGGACCCATGTTTGGACCCATGTTTGGACCCATGTTCGGACCCATATTTGGACCCATGTTCGGACCCATGTGACCCATGTGGCCCTGCTCATTCATGCCGAAGCCCCTGTTCATGCCGCCCATGCCTCCCATCCCCATCCCCCCACCCGCGTTCACATTCATTTGGGCGTTCATGTTGGCCCCGCCCATCCCTTGCTGTCGCATAGTGTTGGCCATCATGTTACCCCCTGGAGCTGAGCTGTAACCATTGGGTTCCCTGAGTGGAAAGAAAAAGAAAACAGTCTGAGAAAATGTGAAAAAGAATTTTGAAACAATGGCTCCAACAGTAACTCTTGTATAGATTTGCCACAAGTATATTTTAAAACAGGAAGTAATGTACATTTTTAGATTTGAAATCTGTGAGTATAGATGTAATTTCTGACCTCTGCAGCAGGTGAGTTGAGATGAAACCTTGCGGCTCGTTGCTCATGGGATGTCGGTACAGTTTGCTCTTGGTCTGGGCTGTGACTGGAGTGCCGTCGGACAGAGAAAAGCGGTACAGGGGCGTCTCGGCATGACCCTGGAGAAAGGCTGCACAGGAAGAATATAGTCAATTTCCCAGAGAGTTGAATATTTAAAATGATCAATTTAAAAACAAAAACATTTTGTATACGCGCATATTTCTCTAGGTCTGAGCTACTTGTTGGTAAAACCGTACACACAAATCCCACCACGCATAATTGTTCACACCAGCTGCTCTTTGAGAACACAGCAGCCAAAACTGTTTACTCAAGATGGTGCAGCTTGAACCAGAGCAGAAAACAATTATCCAGGTGGAAGCACTCCAGATCAGAAAGACCAGATAAAAGAACCTTGAGTCAGTTCACATAAATTTAGGAACAACGAACAGCCAAAAAGACAAAAGCAAAGGGAAGTTAGTAGTGTCAAAACACCTGTCCAAATGTAACAATGCAGCTTCTACATGCAGAAGTCTCGCATGTATCTTTTTCTAAACATGACTCCATTTAATGGTCCTTGGTTAAACAAAGGTTATGAACCATATGCAAATTTTCTGTGCATCATCTTCAATTTTCTCATCTGTAATGCATCAGTTTTTTGTAGTTTAGGTCTTTACAAACCTCAGCCGGGTGGTCACACAGACGGTATGTTATCAGTACATCACACCCTTGAGCTGCAAAGCCAGCTTATCTTTTCATATGTCGAGTCTTGGCTCTGTTACTACCTCGTTTTGAGGCATAAAGGTGCAAACGGAGGTGGACTGACTACAACCTCAAACGTCCTCGATCTATTCAGAAATCACACCAAGGTGGTTAGAAGGCCACATCAGAATGTTTTGTTAACAAAACTTTGTTAGTTTTTTGTGCTAAAATAAAAGCAAAGATTTGATTTTACAGCCAAAATAGCTTAGTTTTGAGAGGAGTGTGGTTTATACCGAGAAAGTGTACATTTTGGACTTCAATGTGCATGTAGAAATACAAAAAATGAATAGAGTTGAACAGTAAAGTGCACTCTGGCATTCTTAATTATAAGATCAATATTTAAGTATTTAAGGATGAGGTGCCTTCATGTATTTACACACAACTGAGATCGATAAGTGCTGTGCTGACAGACAGAAAGTAATGACGAACTATAAAGATGTAACTAGAATGAATTGTTCTTGGCTATAATTAGAGCGTCCTAAGATCCACAACAGACTGCACAGTAAATCCAGCACTGATTTATGTTCTTCCATTTGCCTCCAAACCATTTGCCGTGGATTTAATTGAGATCAAAGTGCCGTAATTGTCCACTCCAGCTGTGCGAGTTTTCAGGCGTGACCCACCCTCATGGTAGTGGCGTTTGTGCGAAAAGGGCTGCCCGTCGCTGTGCTGCAGGAACATCTGGATGCAACGCCTCAACAAGTCCTCCCAGCCCGGGCGCATCGACGCTCGCAGAGACGTCTGGTCGATCTGAATCAGTTTACCTGCCGGGGAGGACAGACGGCGGAGCGAAAAGGAGGGAGGATGAGTCGAACCCAGTCGTCGGTGTGCATCACTTTGGGTATTTGTGTTTAGTTTCTCACCTGAGAGCTCGTGTCGGGTGTTGAAGCTCTCCGTCCTCTCCACAGCCGTGACCCGACGGGCCACACAGATCATACATGACTGAAGGTCTGCAGGGGGGAAACAGAGTATATTTTAAGTTTTATCAAGTGTTAAGGATAATTTGTAATCACTTTACCAGAAAAAAACAGTCAGAAAGCTTTTAAAACTGACTTTTTTAAAAGTCAAATTATTATTAAATTAATGTGAATTCAGATATTATATTTTCATTATATATCTTTAATAAAAACTCTTTCATCTGTTTCTAAGATTTTACACACTTTTTAACCGCAGGACATCATAAAAGATGGGTAATTGTGTAATTACCTGCGGCTGTATGTGTCTGTTAGCAAAATTTCACACTGGATCAATATAAATGCTACCTTTTATGAAGTAAATCCTGGACATACATTTACCTCTAAATAACTGGAGTTAAACATGGCTGCCATAACTAATCAAATTTAGGAAACAAAAAAATAGCTAAAATATTACTACGTAATTTTACATTTAATGTGGCATTAATCCATAATATTCATAATCTGTAATATTGACTCCCTTCCAACCTCCAAATCACAACACAAAACTCATCGGTTCAAATTATTTTTCCATTTCTACTATTGTTTTCTATAGTAATTTTATTTTGATTTATTTCTGTTTCCAACATGATAATGTTCAGAAGAAAAGTTTGGTCATCTCTCTCCTTTGACAACTACGTAACTTTTAATTCACATCGGAGAGAATTTTAGCTTTTCTTTCTGCAAAAATTTCAATCTTTCTGAAGATTCTCAGGATATCATGAAAGCACTGTCTCTGCTTTTATAATGACCAGAAGCAGAAGCAACAAAGAACACGGCAGACCCTCGAATCGCACCCCCGACGTTATCCACGTTTCCACTCTTATGGCAGGGAGAGGAACGTGTCCCAGCCCCTCCAATCATTCAGAATGGTTTTACTCAGTCAGTAAACTTCACAGGATCATTGCAAATAAAACGTTTCAGAATTTATCAAGCTAAAAATCTCTACTGTAGTTCGAAAACTGCTGTTTTAAGACAGTTCTGATGGTGAAAACTGGTAAGTCTCGGCTTTTAATACTTAACAGTACCAACAGTGGTGGGCACAGTTCCCCTAAAGCACTAATTGGGAACTAATTTCCTGATTAGTGCTTTAGGGCTTTTGCTATTTTTAAAATTTATTACCATTTGTTAAATTTAGAAGCACTAACTGAGGTCTATAAATGTTAATGATCAACGTTATTGTTAAGAGCTGAGGGTGAAAACTGTCACACATTTTATTCATATGTCACCATCCACTAGGTGACAATATATGAACTCAAATACAGCTGTGAATTGTCAATGATAAGTCTTTACAGAGCATCATTGTAACATGTGACTCATGTTGTCTGTTGAAGAATATTCATGGGTTGACTGGGTTATGTTAGTGCTTTAGAATTAGCTTTTGCTAAAACTTTCAGTGCATTAGCGCTTCAGAATTAGGGGACCTAAATATTTGAGTTAAGTGTTTTAGGGCAAGTGGAACAAATTTTTAGATTAGTGCTGCCCACCACTGGGTACCAATGCAAGTATTATTATTATTTAGCTAATCTGTTTCAGTTTGATCTGTTTTAACATCCCACAGCTTTATACAACCTGAAAATTGTTCATCAACATTTGTGGCTTAATCAGAGCAAATAATAAAATAATCTGCTGTGACTTTTGTTAGCAGTACATCATACGATACGACACGGACAAAATCTGGAACAAACAAACCAAAACTGACTAATTTTCCCCACAGTCAACAAGTGAGAAACCCCAGCCCTGTTTGGAGCTCTATAGCTCAGGTATAAATTTACAGTAAAAGCATTATTTACAGTTTAAACAGCTCATAGAAAGTTGGACTTTTCATGACTGAACTGGCTTTTTGTTTTGTCTATTATTGGTTTTTCACAATCGCAGTTTAACTTTTGTGATTTTTTTAAAGATTTAGTTATAGAATGTTTAACTGAGTTGATATCACAGTTTTTGAGACGTTTAAACATTACTATACCAAACATTTTCAGCACATTTACAAACTATTATACGTTGACTTGTAGGCAATTCTGTCTTCTTTCATGCAATGTGTGACTCACACACCTACAAACAAAAAACACAAGATTTACTCTCAGAGAGCACACCCAAGTTTTCCTAAAGTATTCGCTCAGTTTTTCTCTTTAAAACTGAAAGAGAAGGTTCTTTTTAACTCATATATTTCACATAAAACCCATCAGAGACATAAAACGTCATGTGTGACCATCAGAGTCTTCTGCTGCTCCTGTTGAAGAATTTGAGTTCTTAAGGTTTACTTTTTACTGAGTTTCAGTCCGTCTCTTACATTTGCTGTTAGGGAGTAAATGACGTGTGCTGTTACCAAGTTTTCTTGGGTTTCTTCAGTTTATATGAAAACATTCAGGCCCGTTTTCTCAGCTTGGGTTTTTAACAAATAGATGTTAGAATCTTAGGCAAAGTATTTTCAGAAACTTTCCAGTATTTACTTTTGTCTGGAGAGTGTGCATAAAGAAGTAGTTAGAGACTGAGGTTTTACACCTCTAAATTCTCGTCCTCCAATCCCATTTTAGGTTTTAAGGTTTTTTTTCCTTCTTCTCAAACAACAAAAATAGGTCCAGAATTAGCTTAATTTTTTCCCCGCTCTCTCGCAAAAAAAAATACTTGTTTTTTTTTTGTTAGCCATCAGTTTATAATTCTTATTCATCACATCCGTCTAACAGAAGCATGGCCCAGGCTGGAGAAAACCACTGACCCAGTAGCCCACNTTATTATTGAGCTGGATTATTATTTAGAAAGTCAACAGAATATCACAAGAAAAATTTGTTTATCATTGAAGCTTGCATTCTCCTGCTGAATTAGACACTAATCTACTTTTGTTGAATAATCATTAAGAGCAACAAAAACAAGGTAACTGGCTAGAAAAGAGCATCTGTTATAGCAAAATGGAGCATTTTAAAAGAAGAACAAGGCTGCACTAGTTAGAGCAATAAACACTGGCAACTGCAACCAGGAATGTTGAAAAGAATGTCTTGATAACTTCAATTTTCTACAGTAAAATACCAAACCTCGCCATACTACAACCAAACAATCTCAAAAATAACTCAAGGCAACGTGACTTAGAGACGTAGAGAGAATGGTTCCTGGCAGATAACTTTAAGTCAGAGGTAATAAAGTAAGGGGGTCTTTATGCTACACTAAATAGTCAAAGTCCCTAAATATCTGCTCTCATTGTTCCAGTTATGTGACAAAAATTGCACTATTTTCTTTGCAAAGCAGCTACAGCCACCTTTTTTCGACACTTTGGCTGAACTTTTTCTTACAGCGAATGCACCAAACTTTTTGGGACTGGTCAGAAGTTCATGGGCATGTTTGTTTATGTGGAAAAGCACTCAGATAACAATGGTGGCATTTTTTTTTCAACTATTTGCTTCCAGAAGTCGTCTGTTTTGTTTTCAAACAACATTGATAGTTTTGAGGAGCAGCTGTCTGAGGCTGTCATAAAGTACGTTCATTTATACGACTCTTTCAGACATTTTAAAATATAGCCAAACGGCAAAAACACAGATATCATGCACGTCTGTTGAAAACTGTGCAAACGTGTGAAAAGTGTGTTGAAATCATGACAGATTTGTGCTTGGAGTATTGTCTCAAGCAGGTAGAAACCCCGCACTGTGGCGTGTACAGCAGAGGTAGGGGTTTCCCAGGAGTGTCTCATGGACCATGAAAGGTGTGTGTGTGAAAACGAACGTCGAGCAACCACGCGACCGGGTGTTGACTGTTCGGCTTCAGATCCAGTACGTTGGGCCCTTAAGGCTTTGAACTGATCTACCTGCAGTCCATAAACACCACTCAGTGAAATTTTTTGCTGCACTTGTAAGACAGAAAAATGGAATGACAGACATTGCCATTGTAATAGTAAACTAGACACACAAGCTGCGTTTCCATTGCAAATGTGCGCAAAACTTTGTCGATACTCTGTTAATGTAAAAAAAAAACACAGTTTCGCAACTGCAGTGTTTCCATTAAGTAAGAAATGCTATTAAAGCCACGTGTGAATACGTTTGTTCTGGCGATAAGTCATTACAAACATGGCGGCAATAGATGTAAACACATATAGCATATTGCTACCGCGACACTGGCGCTCATCATCAGCCATCAGAGGAGACATCGGTGTCTTATCCAGACTTTCCAGTGACACGCCCCTTATACTTGGGAGTGACTACGTATGTTGTGTTTTTGGGAAATTGTAGTCTGTGAGTTTAATACTTTCTTTTACTACTTCGGTGATTTTACTACTACTTCTACTTCCTGTTTTCTTCTTCGTCGTTGTCTTTTTCGCCAGTAGAAACAGCCAGTTCTTGATCACGCGACTCCCGTGATGCGAAAAAAGTGTTTCCATTGCAGTTTTGTGAAACACACCAATTTCAATACGGCTGAAAAACCACCTCATCCTAGCGCAAAAACATTTTGTCGAAAAACATAATTTTTTTGGTCAAAATCGATGTTTCCATTGAGCAAATTTATTTTTGAAATTCTAATTTCCACATTTTCATGGTCAATGGAAACGCGGCTATTGATGTGACACATGTTCCAACTTTCAGAAATTCAAGATCATTATTGTTTCAATTTATACTTGGGGAAAAAGGGGCAGATGTAATAAGATTTTTTTCTTCTCTCTGCCAACTTTCATTTCATTTTATTTGTATTTTCTTTTTTTATTGTACATAGCATTACTTTTGTTTTTTTAAGGAAATGAATAAAGTTTGAATAAAAAAATAAATTCAAAAGTGGTGTTAGTTATAGTTTATTTGTTTTATTTATTAATAAAAATCATTCTAATTTTCAGTAGGTGATGTTTTTAGTTTTGACTGATCATGACCTGCATGACTGAGAATCTTCACAAGCAACAGGTGATGTTATTATAAAGTATATTACTTATGTTGTTCATGAGTCACAAATGTTTTTAGGTATAACTTAATGGATTTATTTAATAAAAAGCCTTCTGTGAAAATACAGTAAGCTTTAAATTGATGGTTTATGTCTTATTCGACACTCTAAAAGTTAAACTGATGTATGAGTCTCAGCCTTCATGAGTGCTACCCACCACCACCACCCCTTTACCTTCTCCTTCTTCAATCATGGCCTTGGGCTGAGTGAGAGCAAAACACTGCATGGTCTCGTATCGTGGTCCTCCTGGCCCCTCCTCCATGGGCCCATGGGCGTGGCCAAATTTGACCAGCATCCGGCAAGTGAAAGTGTGACTCTTCTGTCGAGCGGCCTCGTTTCCCCACGACACGCCATTTACTGAAACGAGAGGCGCACAACACAAAGAGAAAGTTAGCCACACTTGGGCGTAAAGAGGACTGAAAACCGCACGAGCTGCAAACAGACAGCCTGTAATTAAATCTCACCAAGGGCTCACACCCAATCCCTACATACACAGAACTACAAACAAACAAACAAACAAAAAAAGGCACCGCAGTATGTATTGTCTCTGGAAAAATGCGAAGCTAAAGCCTCTCCCGCTGTCTGGATCTCTGGCTAAATGGACCATGGGATTAATGTAGCCTAGGTGTCGATTTCCAATATTTCTCCCTCTCGGTCTGCTCTGCAGTGGGCAGAGGCTGGGACACTCAGCCATCTATCCTCATTTAGATCCTGACTACTCATCACAGCACCCTCACAGCACACACACACAGTTTTAGATGAGGTCACCTTCACAGAGAAAGAGAAAAAGGGAGGCAAACTTCAGAGAGACGTCCAACTGTTCTCCAAGGTCTGTGTGAAGCCTTATCAGGGCTTTGGGTCGGCCAAAGGTTTCTGTCTGGCAGGTGCAGGGAAGGGTAGGAGGAAATATTTGAGTAGGATGGGAGGAAGCGAGTGATATTTAAAAGGTGATTTAAGAGGATTACTCCTCGCCGCAGAAGGAAGAAGCCATGGCAAACACAATCAGTCAATCAGTGAAAAACACAACAGCAGCTCCTTTGTCTCTCTCTACATGGGCTTCTTGGATCACTTCCGTGTGCGTGCGTGGAAGTGTGCGTGTGTGTTGGTTTAACCGTAACCGTGTGGTCAGTGGTCATCCCACAGGAATGTGCAGCGAGAGCACAATTCATTCATGCCTCCCCCTTCCCCGAAAAGATAATGAAGGGGAAGAGCAGCGGAGCAAGACCCGACGAGGGGCGGGAGGGGAGAGAGAGCGCGGCGCACAAGGAAGCGGCTTGAGGAACAGACGAGCACAATATTCCTCCTCGCAGGCCGCGGCATTAACAATGGAGGAGGGAGAAGAGGAGCGAGTCGAGAGAGGCGCCGGGGACGCCGCGCACAAAAGTGGATGAAGAGGAACGTTACATAAAGAAAAGAGGGATGAACGAACGCCGGAGCGTGAGGGGGAATAACAGAGGACGTGTCAATGAGTCGCCGGCTGCTTAGGAATGTTACCCAACAGCACAAATACACAGAATTACAGGACATGTATATCACCCGCCATGTTTCAGGCCTGAACTACTTTTAAGTAAAGAAATGTCAAAGCTACACTGCAAAAATTAGCCAACTAAAATTAAGTTACAAAACACTAGATTATAGTCTCAAGAGTCAGACAATTTCACTTCTAGACTTCTAGAAATAAACATATCTAGCCTAACAAGATTAATAATCTAACATTCTGCTCTGACTTACTGTATATATCTGTCTCCAAATAAGATCAAAATACTTTTCGGCTGGATATAAGACTGTAAGACTTGGTTAGATGGACAGTTTTAGTAGTTTAAGGTCAAATCTCTAAAATAATGTCATTCAGTCAAATATTACGTAATCTGGCAGCACTTTAAGTTGTAAATGACTCACAGCTACTACCATTTCAAAACTTAGCTCCAAATCTGCCATTTTTGTGTTTGCTGAAGTCAACCATCTGTGGCAGTGATGTTAAACTGGATCGACTCTTAAAAGTTAACCAGTTGCAGATTAACAGTGCAGTGTTTACACTCTGACAGAGTCCCTTGACTCAGTCCAGAGGTTCATGAGATATTTTGCTAACAGACAGACTGGTTTGACTCCAATAGTTGATGCCACTTTTTTTACGCAAAGATCTCATCCAGTACGTGGCAGTAAAAGTACGTGCTGGGTACGACTCTCAGCTACTGCCGCGCCAAATTTTAGCTCAATTTCTGTCAAATCAACAGATTTATAAACAGTTTCGTGTTTTTTTTTCAGGACAGCTATCCGTTTTGAATTAAGAATGACGTCAAAAGTTAATAAGTCGTAGAAATTACTTTTAAGAGTTTCTTTAATGACCGACATGCAGATGCGAGCAAAAACATCGCACGCTTTTCATTTCCTGGCGAAACTGTAATTAATTAGGAATGAAATATTTACAAAACGTTGCATTAAACATGGTACTGAGTAATAAGCGGGTGGACTGAAGGAGTTGAGCACAAATCGGACTGAAAAGTAAAAGTGCAGAGAGCAGGCGGAGCGTGTGGAGGTGCATTATTCAGCAGCGCGTCGTTTGCAGATGAGATGTGAATTGAGCCCGGGCCTGTTTTACACTGTCTGGACCACTGAGTGTGACTGACAGCTGCGCTCTGCTCTACCTGCTTAGCGCCATGTGGGTGTGTGCTCCTGTGCGCACATGTGTGTGTTTTTATCAGGTGTGTGTGCTCTAATGCACATGAGCAGGCCTCCCAGGAGCTCCTCATTACAGCAAGAAACAGAGTGGAGGAGTGCGAACAGTGAGGCGGTGTTACCTCCCCGAGTTTGCTTTTGGAGGCGAGCGTCACGCACCGATAAGTGAAGCTGTGTGTGTGTGTGTGTGTGTGTGTGT